AAACGCCCAGACCTTTGAAGCTTACATTTCAGCATAAGGGAAGGGTGGAAGCGGGTATAAGGGAAATTGACATTTGCCTGAATTTCAATGAGAATGTATTGGGGAAGCAATGACAGACAAAGACAGACACATAAAGTCAGATCATTAGGACATCTGAGCAGACGGCAGGAACTTAGACCACAGGCCTGGGAAGAAGGAAAGTCACCAGGGAAAACGCTCTAACCCAGACACAATAGGCCCGGCATGTGAGACCTGGAAGCATAGTGTAGAACACATCTGAAGGGCTGGAGTCAGGCCAAGGATGGCCTTGTAGGCTGGCGAAGGGTTGGGATGTGCTGTGGGTAGGTGTGGGCATCTTGACTTCACTGCACTGGCCGTGAAGGAAACGGACAAAGAATGAGGCCCAAAGAGGAGGAGGTGGTGGTCACCACAGGCAGTGCTGGGAATGGCTGAGGAGCGCAGGTGGCTTGAGAATCTATTTGTGAATCTGTTGCTGGACAAACCCTAGAAACTGGCTCAGTGAACCTCCCTTCAGATCCTTCAGGCCTTGGCCACATCAGTGAAGGCTGCCCCTGTGTGTGCCCATGCTTGGAGAGACAAGGCTTTTATGACTCTGGGGCTGAGCTATGGAGGAAGGGAGAGAAGGAAGGTTCCAGGAGGTCTTCAACATTGTCTTGACTGGCTGTTGCAGTTGCTGTCACGTAGGGCCCTGCATGGACCCCCGAGGCACCTGGAGCAAGCCTGAAGCCTGGAACATCTTGCCCCAGAGTTGTTATTGGTACTTTTCCTGTTTTGGTAACACACATCGGCTGGGGAGGAGCTAATCCTGAAAACCCTGTGGTTTCCCACTGTGCTGTGAGTCAGTATATAAGCCCACTCCTTCCCCTCAATAGACCACATCCCGCATTCAGGCATGACTGTTGAACGAATGACTTGCTGTCTTGTTTCTTAATTCAGTCTCTAGGCCTTCACCTGATTAGTGGAGCAGATGGTAGTGCAGGTGCTACACTGTCATTTCCATTAGAGTTGGGAGAAATGTGGTCCCTCAAAATGCGGGGTCAGGATGAGGAGTGGAGCTGGGAAGGCCCAGCTGCTTCTTGGGCATCCAAGAGGAACTTGGGTGAGCCAGTGTGAACTCATTAGAAAGACTGGTGTCCGCTAGTCGGCAAATATTCATGTATTTTTATAACGCCCCACCAAACGTCGAGAACTAGCCCAGCATGGATGTGTAGCAATCCTATCCGTGCTTCGCACAGCAGGCCCTGCTGATGTGTTAAAGGGATGGCACCTTGTGATGATGGTCCATGGTGAAAATTGACGTGAAGAGGGGAGACAAACAGCCAAGGGGACCCCAAAGTATTACTTCACACCCAAAACCATCCCCTCAGTCTGAGTGGTAGCTCAGTCAGTAAAGTGATTGCCTGTAACGCACAGGGGCTTGAATTGAATGGCTAGAACCCATGCAAAACGGCTGAGCTTGGTGGCATACACGTGCGTGTAATCCCAGCACTGAGGAGGCAGAGACAGGAGGATCCCGGGGCTTGGTGGCCAGCCAGGCTAGCCTATCTGACAAGCTCCCGGTTCAGGGAGAGGCCTGGTACAAAAAGAATGAGCTGAAGAGTGATCAAAAAGCAATGCCTGACGTTGATCTCTGCCCTTCATATGTATGCTTATGCAAACATCCATGTGCACACACATTTCCTTACACACTAAAAGCCCCAGAGAGTGAGAGGTTTACTGTGTTCTGACAGGCTTCCCTTACACCTGGCTGCGGTAGAGCTCCTTATACAGGTGTGTGGAAACGAAAGTGCTGGCTAACTCTGGGCACTGCTGGAGTAAGGAGGAGCAGCGGGGAGGCTTGTCATGGGTCATCTTTACTCTTTCTCTAGTTTATGCTTCTACACAGTGGCCTCACACCCTTGTTAATATCAAACTAAGGAAATGTAGCGTTGAACTGAGAAAGAACACAAGCGTTCTCAGAACTGTTGGGGGTGTTGAAATGATCTTGAGCTGTAGACTCTCCCTGCAGTCAGGGGGGGAGGAGAGTCCAGACACTGTAAGCAACAGTGGCAGGTGCAGTGAGTTCAGTGGCACTCGGAGGAGTACACTCCTCAGGTAGTGTTGTCTCCTGAAGGGGTGGGAATGACGGAGATACCTAGGCTGTGGCCAAGACTGAGGGAAAAGTGCAATTTCTTTGTTTTCGGTTGGGGCTCTTAGGGAGTTTGGTTGGTTGGTAGTCTGTCTTAGTTGGAGAGTCTATTCCTGTGAAGAGACACCATTACCATGACAACTCCTATAAAGGAAAACATTTCATTGTAGCTGGCTTACAGTTCAGAGGTTTAGTCCAGTTATCATCGTAGTTGGATCATGGCAACTTGCAGGCAGACGTGGTGCTGGAGGAGCTGAGAATTCGACATCCAGATCAGCAGGCAATAGGAAGTGAACTGGCTTGAGCTTCTGTGACCTCAAAGCCCACCCACTATGGACACAGTTCCTCCAACAAAGCCACGCCTACTCCAACCATCAAGGCCACGCCTCCGGTTAGTGCCGCTCCCTATGGGCCTATGGGGCATTTTTATTCAAATCCTAGTCTCCTTTCTGCTGCCATGATATAATGTTTTGATGGGCTCTGAAGGTCAGCAACCAGTGTGTGTCACTGGGCAGCAGGAGTTGTAGTGCTGAGGACTAGGTGGCAGCGGGCAGGGGAGGGGGCAGCTTGGTGGAGAGAAGACAGGAGTGCAGGATAGATGTAGGTGGATGGACTGAGGAAAGATAGCCGGCACTGTGCGGGGCCTGAGATGAAGTCTTAGAAAACAAAGGGCGTTCAGAATAGTCAGACGTTAGGAGAAGCCCTGTGTTCTGTGGACTGCCGGAATACAACAGAATTCACCTCCTTGGGGCTGCCTCGGGGCGCAGTATCAGTACATTCTGTCACTCTGCCGGCATGGCCTGCTTGGGTTGTGCAGCCACAGAGAGGGTGACTCTTTCATGTAACTCTGGGTGGTGTGAGTCTGGTGTGTCCATATGTGCTCATGCAGTGGTGTGCGTGAGCACGTGTGTGTATGTGTGTGGGTGTGCACATGCTGTGGTAAATGCATGCCTTTTGGCTTACATTTTGAAGTCAAGATATTTTAAAAATATACGGTTGGTTTAATCTGGCAGCTTTCGTAATCGAATGTTTTTCAGCAGGCTAATTATTTGCTCATTAACAGTCAAAAAAAAAATCTAAAGCTGGGTGGTGATGGAGTACACCTTTAATCCCAGTACTCAGGAGGCAGAAGCAGGTGGATATCTGTGAGTTTGAGCCCATCCTATTATAGAGACAAAGTTCCAGGACAGGCTCTAAAGCTACACAGAGAAATCCTGTCTTGAAAAACCAAAAAGACAACACAATAAAATACATAATTGAGACTGTGTATTTTCCATCATTATGTGGTTTATATTTTTTATTACTCTATTCCTTTTTAAGGACATTCTCTACCCTTTCTTTTTCCTTTCCAAAGCCTATGTATATTTTCAAGCAAACTATAATCCATTTAGAGATTTTTTGTTTTTATTTTTGTCTGAACCTTGCTGACCACATGAGTCTTTGAACTGCTAAATGCTGTGTCTAGGACCAAAGCAGTGGCTTTGGCAGCTGGCTCTGCCCCACTCTGTGGTCCTGAGAGCCTGGCCTCATGGTGATGGTACTAGCAGAAGCCACATTTATCACCCCAACTCTGGGAAGTGTCTGAGTCCATGCTGCCACCGAGTAGTGCACCACTCACTGCTCATAAATCCCATTTAAGTGTTTGGTAGCAGGAGCTCTGCAGAGAGCCACAGTGAGTTTGCTGTTAACCCTGAGTTGGGAAGCCATCTCTTAAAGGAGCCACACCTCTGTTCCCACCAGCAAACAGAGCCTGCCCAGGAAAATGCTGCAACCGAGAAGCTTTGCTTGACTGTTCTTTTGTGTGTTTAGAATCTTTTTTGTTTGTTTGTTTTTGTTTTTTAAGCTTTCTCCAGTTTTATGTGGCACTTCTTGCCAAACATTTGGGCGTCCATATGTAAATGGACATTTCTCTCTCACCTGCCTGTTCCCAAGTACCTGGTGGCTGCTTCCCAAATAATTGACTCAGAGGCTTAATTACTTATAAATGCTCAGCCAATCGAAATGCCTGACTCCAAACACCTATGCTAATGAGGCCATGACTACAGCTCTCTGAAGTGTGACTGTCCTGTTTGACTCTATGGGCTTGGGGTAGCTCAGCATCATTTTTATTTTTAGTGTGATCTGTGCCTCCTGAGGCCATCTAGGGCTTTGAGTCCCAAGTATCACTTGTTCACACCCAGGGAGTGTCCTTGAGCACTGTGTCAAAAGACTACTACCGTGCAGGTCTCTTTTTCTATGTCTTAGTTTGGGTTTTTATTGCTGCGGAGAGACACCATGACCAGGGCAACTCTTAAAAAGAAAACATTTAATTGTGTGGCTCGCTTAGAATTTCAGTGGTCCATCACCACATCAAGCATCACATCAGCATGCAGGCAGACATGGGGCTGGAGCTGAGACCGCTGCACCTTGCAGGCAACAGGAAGCCTACTGACTGTCACACTGAGGGGAGCTTGAGAAAAGAGAAAAGTCTGCCCCTTCCTCCAACAAGACCACACCCACTCCAACCGGGCCACACCTCCTAACAGTGCCGCTCCCTTTGGGGGCCATTTTCTTTCCAACCACCACAGTGTTTTTTCTTAGAACTCCTTTTTTTTTTTTTTTTTTTTTTTTTTTCACTAGAAAAAAATAATAGTGAGTTGGGTCACCTTTGTCAAAGGTCATGGAGTTGGTTAACTAACCACAGGGAAACTGAAAATTAGGTAACAGAAAGGACCACACACCAACTAGGGCAGTGTGCCCATGCTAAACTAGAAAGGCTTATGTCACTGTGGAGTAGGCCCTGGTGGGCTTAGCCAGTGCCCCTTGCTGGTTGGGTTCCTCACTGTGGCTCACTCATCATTATCGTCCCCAGGTACTTTCCTGCATACCTCCTGGAATCCTGAAGGGGTGCAGACATGGCAGGCAATGCGGCAGACAACGCCAACCACCTGCCCTACTTTTTTGGCAACATAACCAGGGAAGAGGCTGAAGACTACCTGGTCCAGGGCGGCATGGCGGATGGGCTCTACCTGCTGCGCCAGAGTCGCAATTATCTGGGTGGTTTCGCGTTGTCAGTGGCACACAACCGGAAGGCGCACCACTACACCATCGAGAGGGAACTTAACGGCACCTATGCCATCTCCGGTGGCAGGACCCATGCCAGCCCGGCAGACCTCTGCCATTACCACTCCCAGGAACCTGATGGCCTCATCTGCCTCCTCAAGAAGCCCTTCAACCGGCCCCCCGGGGTGCAACCCAAGACCGGACCCTTTGAGGACCTGAAGGAGAACCTCATCAGGGAATATGTGAAACAGACCTGGAATCTTCAGGTGAGTCTGGTGGGCACTGCTCCCTGACCATGGATCCCCGTTCCAGAATCACCCAAAATCCTTTGCATCCTTTACAGGAAGACGGAAGTAGCAGTGGTTGAGGGCATTTTCCAGCTGCTGCCATGTTCCAGATGCCTGCGTGGCCACGCCCCTCACTGTCTTTGTTTCCCACCCCATCTGCCAGTCTTCATATTCCCCTCAGCCCTCCATCCTCCTCCTTTCTGTGTGTGCAAGAACGCTGTGTTTTCGTTTTTACTCCTTTGGGTTTGTTGTTGTTGTTTGCTTTTATACATATCAGTAATCAGACTCTGGCTATTCATTACCAAGATCTGTTTTTCTCTCTCTGGGAAAGATAAGCAAATCAGTCCTCTCAGCTACTAATGCTACTGTTTAATCCCAGCACTGGCGAGGCAGGTGGATCTCTGTGAGTTCGAGGCCAACCTGGTCTATAGAGCTAGTTCCAGGACAGGCTCCAGAGCAATACAGAGAAACCCTGTCTTGGGAGAGGGCACAAAACAAAAAACTATTAATGGGACTGTTTTTATTTCCACCTTTTCCCCACGTGGTCCAGGCTGCTCACCTATAATTCCTCTGATGGCATTTCCTGCAGGGGTGGGGGTGGGGAGTGAGGACAAAGCTGAATCCTCGCTGACAGAAAGCCACAGATGCCTCCTTCTCACACATCTTTAAAATTTTTTCTTTGGTTACGTGTGTGTGTGTGTGTGTGTGTGTGTGTGTGTGTGTGTGTGCGCACAGGGGAGGAGGATACAAGCTGCTACAAAATGTATATGGAGGTCAGAAAACTTGTAGGGGTCAGCCTCTCTTCCACCATGTGGGTCCCAGGAACCAAACTCAGATGGTCAGGCCAAGCAATAAGTGCTTAGCCCGCTGAGCTACCTCACTACCCCGAGCTCAAACACATCTCAAGCCTTCTTGCCTGTGATGAAATGACTCTAGGTTTTCACACAGAACCTAGTTTGAGTATACAGCTGTCTTTGCAGAATCCAGTCTCTGACTCCAGGGGCATATGACTTACATATGCAAATTCTTGTCTGGCTTTTCAAGGGTCCCTCTCTTCGTTCCAAAACATATCCCTTTCATTTATACACATGAAGACATGCAAGTAATATGCAAAGATCTTATTGGTCCCCTTATTTTGGGGAATGAATAAGGGAAGGATGAGTGAGTGACAGGGAGAGTAGAGTCTGGTCCTGTTTTGCTGCACAGAACCTGGGACACAGATCTAACTCCTCTGTACCTGGCCAGCTCACTTTCTCTCCATCCACTGCAGGGCCAAGCTCTGGAGCAAGCCATCATCAGTCAAAAGCCCCAGCTGGAGAAGCTGATCGCCACCACTGCCCACGAGAAGATGCCCTGGTTCCATGGCAACATCTCCAGAGATGAATCCGAGCAGACAGTCCTCATAGGATCAAAGACCAATGGGAAATTCCTGTGAGTATCCTGCCATCTCCCTACCTCCTAACTCCAGGGCCACTCACCTACGGGTAGCAGCTTCTCCAAGGGCAGAACCCAGGTGGTCCCAGAAAGGTGTCATACATTTGCCAATGAGTGTTGGTGTCACTTGTAACCCAGCATGTGTTTTATCTAGTCTGAGCATAAAGTGACATTGTGTTTAACCACACGAGGGTTGTTTGTTGTCTAACATGTTAGGCCCAGAAGTGCTTTGGATTGGGGGTATTTTCTGGTACAGGAATATTTGCACATATATAAAGAAATGTCATGAGATTTTGTCCAAGCCTGCACTAGAAATTCATTGAACACTTAATGTTCATGATATCTAGGCAATTTCTTGTGTGTGTGGGTTATCCTGCTCATGTATGTAAATGTGTGTGAAGCATGCATGTGGAGGTCAGAGGTGGACATTGGTGCCTTATTAGTTGCTTTCCACCTTATTTATCTTAATATCTCATTCGTATTTATTATTGTGTCTGTGCATGTTGGTGGGGGAAGTTTCATGTGCCATGGAGTGTGCATGGATGCCAAAGGACAACATCCATGGACCAGTTCTTTCTTTACACTTTTACATGGGTTCTAAGTACCAAACTCAGGTCATCAGGCTTGGGCACAGCACCGCCACCTTTACCCAGTGAATCATCTTGTTGGCCCTTCCTTCCCAAAACTAGTTTTGAGAACTAGTCTCTCGCTGAACCTGGAGCTTGCTGCTTTGTCTGTAGTGACTGGCCTGCAGCCCCCTGGACTCACCTTGCATGTGCCTCTCTAGTGCCGAGATTACAGGCACTCACTGCAACACCCAGATCTTTACATGGGTTCTTGGGATCAGTTGGGGACATCATGTGTGCTATAAACACTTTACCAACTGAGCCATCATTCCAGGTTCCTAGCTAGCATCATGCTAATTTTCCCCACATTTTTAGTGCTTTCAGAGTAGGGAGTTCTGCTTCACATGACAGATAGGGTGCACATAGTGTGGTGACAGGACAAAATAAGACAGCACAGTGTGTTCGCTTAGATCTGCCTCCAGATCGTGGACTTCTGTTTGTGCTTGGAACTGTGGGCTGCTGCAGAGATTCAGGAGCAAAGTTCTGGGAACAGCGTACACCAAACCTGGGTGTAGACGTCTGAGCAAAAATGTGTCTGTTAGCCTAGCCAGCTTAGCTACATGAAGGCTTGGATTCTGGGTTCCTGGCCTGGGCATCTACAGTGGGTCTGTGTGAGCCAAAATTCAGAAGGTCTTCGGGCAGCGGTGCAGCTAGGTAGGGTCTGTGGTCCAGAGAAACAAGGGGTGTCCTGGTGTGGCCAAGCTTCTTCTAAAGCTGTGCCTGCCAAGGAGGTGCTGGGGAAATGCCTGAACCTGTTGTCCCTTCGCAGAGGCCATCAGGGTTCTGAAGAGCCACCCATTCCTTCCAGTAAAACTTTCCCAGAGTCAATAATGTCACCTCATGGTCAGGCACTTTGATCAGTACCAGCTATCTTCCTAGAAATGCTTATGTTTTCTCTGCATTTGCATCTAGCTCAAGATTCGTCCTCTTACTTCTGATATTAAGTTAGTCATCAATCTCATTATCAGGGAAGGGCATTTAAGGTAGTCTTTCCACTGTTGTTCAGATTGTTAGTTGGGGTCATCCTTGTAGGTCTCTGGATATTTCTCTAGAGTCAGTTTTCTCTTCAGACCTATAATGACTCCTTCTATTATGGTATCTCTTTATTTATTGTTATTATTATTTTTTGCTCTCATCTATTTGTCTTCTGACTCAATCTTCTAAGTCCCACATGCTCTCCTCTCTTCCCCTTCTCTTTCTCCTAACTCCCTCTCCACTCACTGCCCCCCCCACTCCCAATATGTTCAGGAGATCTTGTTCCTTTCCCCTTCTGTGAGGGACCTTGTATGAATCTCTTAGGTTCCTCCTTGTTTCCTAGTTTCTCTGGCAGTGTGAATTATAGGCTGGTGATCCTTTGCTCTATGTCTAAAATCCATATATGAGTGAGTACATACCATGTTCCTCTTTTTGTGACTGGGACCTCACTCAGGATGGTTTCTTCAAGTTCTGTCCATTTGCCTGCGAATTTCAAGATTCCATTGGTCCCTCCCCCCCCCCCCCCGGCTGAGTAGTATCCCATTGTATAAATGTGCCACATTTTCTTTATCCATTCTTCAGTTGAGGGGCATCTAGGTTGCTTCCAGGTTCTTGCTATTACAAATAATGTTGCTATGAACATAGTTGAACAGATGTCTTTGGTTGCATGGATGTGGATCATTTGGGTATATACCTAAGAGTAGGATTGCCAGGTCCTGTGGTAAACTGATTCCCATTTTCCTGAGGAACTGCCATACTGATCTCCAAAATGGCTATACACTCCCACCAGCAGTGGAGGAGTGTTCCCCTTTCTCCACATCCTCTCCAGCATAAGCTGTCCTTGGTGTTTCTAATTTTAGCCATTCTGACAGGAGTAAGATGGTATCTCAGAGTTGTTCTGATTTGCATTTCTCTGATGGCTAAGGATGTTGAGCATTTTCTTAAGTGTCTTTCAGCCATTTTGGATTTCTCTACTAAGAATTCTCTATTCAGTTCTGTACCCTACTTTTTAACAGGGTTATTTGGTGTTTTTGTGACTAGTTTCTTGAGTCCTTTTTATTTTGGAGATCAGCCCTCTGTCAGATGTGGGGTTGGTGAAGCTCTATTCCCAGTCTGTGGGCTGCCGTTTGGTCTTGTTGACTGTGTCCTTTGCCTGACAGTAGCTTCTCAGTTTGAGGAGGTCCCATTTATTAATTGTTGATCTTAGTGTCTGTGCTACTGGTGTTATGTTCAGGAAGCAGTCTCCTGTACCAATTTGTTCAAAGAAGATACCAGAAAATGGAAAGAGCTCCCATGCTCTTGGATAGGTAGGATAAACAGTAAAAATGGCAATCTTGCCAAAAGCAATCTACAGATTCAATGCAATCCCCATCAAAATCCCAGAACAATTCTTCACTGACCTTGAAATGATAATACTCAATTTTATATGGAAAAGATCCATGATAGCAAAAACCAACCCTATACAATAAAGGAACTTCAGGAGGCATCACCATCTCCAACTTCAAGCTCTATCATAGAGCTATAGTACCGAAAACAGCTTGGTATTGTCACAAAAATAGGTAATGGATGAATGGAATCGAATCAAAAACCCTGACATTAACCCACACATGTACGAACACCTGATTTTTGACAAAACAGCTAAAAGTATACAGTGGAAGGAGGAAAGCATCTTTAACAAATGGTGCTGGCACAACTGGATGATAGTGTGTAGAAGACTACAGATAGACCCATGTCTATCGCCACGCACAAAACTTAAGACCAAATGGATCAAAGACCCGGCCACACTGAACCTCTTAGAAGAGAAAGTGGGAGGTACCCTTGAACGAATTGTTACTTCTGATATTAACAAATTATCTTAGGGACTGAAAAGATGGCTCAATGGCTAAGATCATTGGCTGCTCTTCTAATGAGAGCTTTCAAGTTCCAGCCTCCATTCTTTCTCAGGGTCCAGGCTAGGGGCTAGACAGCAGGCGGGGAGGGTTTCCCTAAAAGGAGTCCTAGGGTGAAAGGGAAATAAACTGCCTCACTCATGCATTCCTCTCATAACTCTTTATCCTTCAAGAAAATGTTCTTCCCCAAAAGTTCTCCCTCAAAAGCTCTCTTTAAGAGTTCTCTCTAAAAGCTCTCTCCTCAAAAGCTCTCTCTCTCTCTCTCTAAAGGCTCTCTTAAAGTTCTCTTAAGATCTAAAAGTTCCTTCTTGTAAAAGTTCTCCTGAGGTCTCTCCTATCCCACAAGGCTTCTAGATTTTATACCCACAGGCACATTTAACAACTCTGACCATATGAATGCTATCTCTCAGAACCAGGAAGTCTGGTAGAATCTTGAGCAAAAAGCAGGTAGGTGCCTCATGTCTCTCCCCTGGACATGACTTGCAAAACATCGTGGCTGATTTACATCTGGGGAGGGGGATATGACTTGCAACTCTGCGCTGTTAACTGATTGAAGGGGTCTTCTCAGTGCTATATCAAAGGGAAAAGCTAAGGCCATGCAGTGTGAGATCCTGAGGCTGCAGCTCTTACTGCTGACACCCCAGTGGGAAGGAATTCCTTTCCCTGGGGCCTATTTGAGAATATAAAGCACCCAGTATATATCCTATATACAGCTAAGTTCACAGGAACAAATATTCTGGAGTTGATACCTGGAATATTAATTGCTACTTCTGTAATAAATGATGAAGGCTCGAAGCACTCTTCCAAAACACTTGGGTTCGATTCCCAACACCCAAGTGGTGGCTCCCAAGTGTCTGTAACTCCAGTCCCAGGGGATCTGCCACCCTCTTCTGTCCTCTGCACAAGCTAGGCATGCATGTGGTGCACAGACATACATCCATAGATATAAACAATAATACTAAAATGAAAATTATTTTTAGATTATCTTAATCCTTTCTCCTTTTTTTTCAATTTTTTCTTTTGTTTTACATACCAACTATAGTTTCCCCTCCCTTCTCTCCTTCTGATCCCTCCTCTCACTCCTCCCGCCATGCACCCTCATCCACCCCTCCTTCACCTCCACTTAGATGTGTTAAGGCCTCCCATAGGGATCAACAAAGCATGGTACATGAGGCAGGAATAAACTCTCCCCTACCCCCTCCCGCTGCATCAAGGCTGCACAAGGCATCCCAACATAGGGAGTAGGTTCCAAAGAGTCAGCTCATGCAGCAGGAACAGTTCCTGGTTTCATTGCTAGGGGCCCCCAAAAGACCAAGCCACACAATTGTCACCCAGAAGCAGAGGGCCTAGGTCAGTCCCATGCCAGCTTCCTGGCTGTTGGTTCAGAGTCTCTGAGCTCCCACAGGTTCAGGTCATCTGTCTCTGTGGGTTTCCCCATCATGATCTTGCCTGCCCCCCACCCCCTTGCTCATACAATCACTCCACCTTCTCTTCAAATGGACTCCCA